CTAAGGACCTTCAATGGCATAAAGGCCATGTTTCGGCTTTCGGGCAGGTTAATCGCCCAAGTTTATCTGGAATGCAACGTGATCATTTAGTGAACCGTCAAAATTGATAATGCAAAAAATCGTAATACTCGCATTAACGCATCATTTTTAATTGGTCGAATAATCACAACAATCGCGACACACAACATAATACGACGACAGCTATCAGGATCTGTACCAAGATCAGGAGTTGTTTATTGAGCCACTAATAACGTAAAGTTTTATCAAATGAATAACCTAAGCAAGTGATAACAAAAACGGAGATATTCACACTCTGTTTCAATGAACTCTAAAACAGTTTCATTGAACTTCCATTTTCATTTTCAAGGATTTTACACCTGATAATGGATACTGCGGCAAATGACTTTCACCAAAATCGGGATTAAATAACGTTAGAAAAGTACTCTCAAGAGTTGAATCGACTCTCGAGAAGTTCTAGTATTTGTGAACCAGGTGATGTTTGTAAACCAGGCGATGATTTCAGATTGATATTTGGAGTTTAACAGATCGCTGGCATCATTCGAGCCGAACTTGTGAGCTGGTTTTCTTGGGGTTTTCTGGATTCCGATATTTTCATTGTAATTGTAAGCAAAACTTAAACAACAAAAAAATGATATCTACACTTCGCAATTCATTTTCAATATTTTTTGCAATTATCCGAATTTTTGCATTCTATTCATTTTTGCAATCATCCGTACGAGCGATTTTTTTGATATTTGTCTCGATATTCGGATTTGGTTTTCAGCGATGGAAATTAATTCATTATTCTTATAACTAATGTGGAAAATCAAATAGAAGCATGAGGAATGGTCGTTTTCAGGTGTAGTCTTTTGCGTCAGGTCGATTGAAGGTGTATTTTGCAGGATGAGTGCAGACAGTATTGGAAACGTACGACAGCAAATCGCAAATGGAAGGTCAGTTCCTGTTTGAGGGATTTTCGCTTGAATCCATTTTTGTCTCTATATCCATTCTTTACATTATAGCTATTTATGGAGTTGATAATCAATGTTTTAATGGGTGCATTTAATTCAACGTTTGTGTGTTTGTGTTTTCGGTCGAGACAGAATGTAAACTAAACGAAATAGCAGTTCAGTGAGGATCATTTGTGATTCAGTCAGTTTATTGTGAAAGTCGAATTGCTCATCATACAAACTAGCAATCCAATGAACAGTTGCATATTATCGTCAAGATTTCTATCTTCAGTCTATCGTTGATATTTATCTTGCAGTTTTTTCCCTTGTCGACGTCCCGATTTGCGTATGGCATTGCTTGAAAACAATCAGAAATATGACTTCTATGGTGTATTCGATATACAGGTTACTGTTCAAATCACTTCAGTCACTGTACATTTTGTTCAGTCACTGTTACAACGAAAACTTTTTACTTGCTTCATCACCGCTCCAATCATGAGGAATATGTGTTTCGCCGAAACCAATTCATCGAAGCTAATTGATTCAACAAGTTGAAATTAGTATTGTGATTCCATAACATATTTCGAGTTTCTTGGATCTTCGCTATAGTTTTCGTTTCTGACTATATTGACCATCTAATTGAAAGTTAAATTTGCTTCGGTTGTATAAAGCCACAACTGAAATCTCAGTTTTTGGTTTAAGTATCCGAAACCCTTCATAATATCATTTTCTGTCCTTGTTCTGACAGCACATTTTGAACGATTAATCCCATACAGGTTATTGATATTGTTGAAGAAAAATGCCAATGTTTTGTGTAGCGAGTAAATATTGAACGTTTAAGGTATTGTTTGGTTCAGTAGAAGCTCGTGGATACAACTTCGAATCGAGTGCCTATAATGAGAAGAAGTTCATCTCGATATGCGCGCCTTATGTAATGGGACCTCCTATTGTTATTTCGACGAAGTCTTCTGAAAACACTTTCAATGTGAATCGTTTGAAATGGCGCATACAAGAGGTTCAATCATGTTTTCATTCCATTATGTTTCATATGTTGATGCAACTTCAGTGACCGGCAATTGATTCATGATCGATATTCAGATCGTCATTCTTTTCGCTGATTGCATTTTTATATTCTCTTCAAGCTCTGTCTTCAAGGAAAAATTTCGAAATTGTCATTAGCTTTCCGTCTAACTCCATGCTATGAAAGTAGATTATATGGTTGGATGGTTGTGCTTCGCTCTTTCAAAAAAAATTTTTTCTTCAATTTGAGGTATCTGATGCATCAGTGGAACTACTGGATTTATACAAGGGTGGTGATGCAATTGTATTACTACGATTCCATATTCCAAAAGCAGCGTTGTGTGTGAGGAATTTATATGATGTTGTGAGTTTTTTGTCACTTAACTTCTTCTGCTTAAAGAAAAGTCATTCTGAAGCTTTCAGCAATCCGTAATTGAAAAATACTATATTATGTGGTTTATTTTTTATTGCTTAATTTAGAGATCATTTTTCAAGATTGTTAAACTCATTTGTTCTTTTTAATGTATCCCAGTTGGAAACACAACCGAAAACAGTTTACTGCAATGGACTAAAAACTAGAAAGTGTTTATCGGAGGCATTCTAATCTTTCAGTTCCTTTGAGAGATATAGAATCAGTCCATAGTTAAATTGTGATTTTGTGGTAAATGCATGATTGTTTTGAAAAGTTGGAGATGAATCTTTCTTCTTAATAGTTCACGAGATTAAACTGAATATTGTGCATTATGACGGCAAAAAGGAGAAGTTATAAGTATATTGACGTGTTGTGTATGCATCGCTAGTATAGGTTCTTATGCAACGTTTGATCAAGTTTATTATCATCGTTTAGAAGTTCTTTGTACCTTCATCTGGTGACTATTTGATGTTGGAGACTTTATGTTGTGTATCAAAGTCGAGATCAAGGAAAGTACTCGAAAACGAACATTTATCGAGTGTTGTCAACTACTTGAAAAAGAGGCGAAGTGAGTTGCCGTATCCTTTTGTTGCATTCAGTACATTAATTTGTTTAATCATGAGCTAAGTGATACGCTACTCATTTATTCCGTATTATTTCGATCCTCTCATTATAGTCTCATACGTTATCAGTTCACCTTTTGTCACTCAAGTCTTTCGTAGTTGCTTTTATTATACATTTACTTTGCGCAGTTATAGTTATTTCATTCCAGTTATTAGTTAATAATTATAGGTATTTGATCTTTTTCGTTATTATTTCTATTATTGTGATTTCTATTTGTGCAATTTCCGACTTGACAATCTCCATTTTTTTATTTATGAGCTCATAGTTACTTTGTCATTCTAAAACTCTCAAAGAGTATTCGTGTTAAATTTATTCGACACTGCATTTTTATTCAGATGGAAAAGAAAGTTCAGTTGTTGTGTTGACTGGCGGTAAAGGTGTTGGAAAATCAATGTGTTCGAGATACATTGCTAATTCTCTCCTCACTGAGTTTGTTTTATCTTTTTC